CAGTCAATCAATGTTTATTTATATAGCCCAATATCACAAATGTTACATTTGTCTCAGTGGACTTCACAGTTTGTACAGAATATCAGTATGACAATGCGACACCCTCTGTCCTTAGACCCTCACATCGTACAAGGAAAAACTTCCAGAGAAAACCCCACAGTTTAAAGGGGAAAATGGGAGAAACCTCAGGGAGAGCATCAGAGGAGGGGTCCCTCTCCCAGGACGGACAGATGTGCAATAGATGCCGTGTGTAAATCGAAGAGATAATACATTTTACAGCATAGGTAGACCAAATGTTTGGAAATGCATGTGTCTATAATAAGAAGATGAATCCACGAGGATGTCAACAATCCTGTTTCAATCCAATCTTTCATAACATTTTATCTCCTGGAAATGTCTGGCTCCCTCTCGTCGTCTGTGCTTGCCGAGGCAACGCATGACTAGTGAGAGGGGGGGTGGCTGTGGGTCAGCAGGTATCTGACCCCCCCCCCCCCCCTGGACATAAAGCACTTGTGTTTTCCCATGCTCCTGAGGGACTCGGGAGACATGGTGCGCAATCAGCCCCATACAGGGGTGGAGGACTCTCAGGGAGAGCCTTCCTCACTATTGTCCATGCCCACTCTACACGGAGCGTGTGTGAGTGTGGGGGACGTGGTGCACTTATGTTTTCCCATGCTCCTGAGGGACCTGGGGAACATGGTGCACGGTAGGCTCCAGACGGAGTCTCAGCACAATTTTTTCCATGCACACTCTGCACGAGGTAATCATAAGTGTGCCTTATCCAAGTTGCGGCCCCGACTTCTCCACGGTTACAACCGGATGGGAGGAAGTGGGGATGCAGTGGATGTTAGCCAAAAGCCGGTGGGTCGATGTTGTTGGACGTCAGGGCGTTTATCCATCGGGGCACCACCCACTGTACCCATAGAGTCCAGTAGAGGGCGGAGCCTGTGTGAGATAGAACGGTGTGTTACGTATTGTAACCCTAGTTATATAAGCACAGGCGAAGCCCTCTACCTGGGGACCCTGTCTTTCCTAAGCCGCTCGCTGAAGAGTGTGTAGGATAGCGGGCGGAGGGTGTAGCCGCCTTAAATACTGTGGGCCTGCGAGCGCATTCAGGTAGGCTCGCCCCGATTGGCCGGCTACGTTTACGTAACTCAAAGCACGCACAGCATGATAGAGAGTAGTATCCATAGAGTTCAGAGGGCGGAGCCTGTGCTTATATAACTAGGGTTACAATACGTAACCCCCCGTTTTAGGGGGCTAGATGGTGTGTATGTTAAATGTGATGTTTTTCTCAAGTTTTCTAACCTTTCTGACCTGCTAATAGGGTTTCAACCAATGTTTCGCTATACATTTACAGATGCTAACTATAGACAAGAACCCATTTGCCTGGCATGAGGGAGGTAACATCAGTGGAGTAACAGCTGCTCTATCCCTCACAACAACAACTGGCTCTAGTATCGCTGTGGAGAACTTAAGTGAGAATATTAAGGTCAGTGCAGCATCTGAGAAATGCTACTAAGTAAATCTATAGTAGTATTATGCAGAATACCCCAATTCAGAATCTTATATATTATAGAAGTTAATAATATTTAATGATGCATTAATCACCATTGTTGAAGCAAGTAAAAATAAGACTGATTGTATTAGTGTTATCTTAACCTATACATTTATATCATATTATCAGTTGGGATTTTGTATTTTATAATCTAAATCTGAAAAGTAACTGTAACAAAAGCTGTTAAATGTAGCGGGTAAATAGTATAATACTTGCCTATGAAATATAGATGACTTAACGAACAATGTAGTAGAAAATGGAGATACTAAAGTCAAATACAAGTAGCTCAAATTATGCATAAGTACAGTGAAAGTCAATTTACTTAGTTATTTTCCACCAGTGTGTACATATATGATATGTACATATATATCTCATTAACAGTTTAGTTGCATATTCATATCAGAGGGGTTATGATTAAAAAGATTGTATGTTTTTCTTTGTTAATGTAGTTCATATTAACTGACCTAAAAATAGTTAATATAGCTCCATACATAATTGTGGCATCTTGTGTTTTTCTCTTATATCTTGTATTTATTTAATCTCCCCTTAGTTTTTTACAAAACACAGGCGGCTGCATAAAAAGAAGAGATTATTATTCATCCTACTTTGCATCCAGTGCTACCCTGATCTGATGAATGTTCAAACCATAAAACAGTATGCAGTGTGTTCTTTCAATAACAACTTTCTTCCAATAACAAGAAAAATAACCCAGATTTGTACCATTATAAAGCCACTTTAGTGAGATCAAGAAACATTGCATAGTAAAGTGTTTACAATAGAAGACGGACAGAAAGTCTACAGTTTGTTCATGTTATGTTGTTTATTTCTTTCATTACCACACATTAAAATGCTTTGGATCTATTTTCTGGCAATTTCCCCGGTCCACAGATTATGTTGCCAAGGCCTGTTGGAGTGCAGGTGAACACCTCATTTTTAGACCTGGGAAACTTCAGCACAACAATCATAGAAGTTACATCAGCTGACTCTACGCTGGTTTTAAAGGTGCCGTAAGATGTTTTTATTTTGTTTCTGAGACGAGTGATGACAAAGAATTTCCACTTTACTTTGACAGCTTAAATTGTTTTATTCAAGTGGCTGTATTACTACCCCTTTGTGCAACCAATACAATTTCACTAACTATCTGCTTTAACAAATGTTCTTTTTCCTAGTCGTGGTGTGTTTTCTTCAATGTTGATATCATAAGGGTAAAACAATAATACACTGTGTTTTAAATATGATTGTCATGTTCTTGATGCTCTAACTATGTCTATTAAAGATGGTGCCCTCCAATGATCCTTTACCGTTCAAAATCCTCATTGGTTATATGGACTTCCCAACTGAAACAAACAATGTTGCGATGACGGAGATGCCTCACGATGGTGCAACACAAGGTAATACATCCCTGCTTATTGATGGGTGACTTGTATGCATTTGATTATGTATCCATTTATTGATTACTTTTGAATTTGTCTTATACAGAGGAGAGATACACTTGGCTACTAGACCCCAAAGATTTAAAGGGAAACACTGGAGTGCACTATCTTGTAGTTAGGCCCATTGTAGGACCGGGTATAAAATCCATCAATGCTACTTTGTCAATTACGCCCATCAGTGCTGCATGTAGATTTTGGGACAAATCAAAATTGGATTGGAGCACTAATGGATGCAAGGTAAGTACAGTGTTTCAGTCTTCCTGTAATGTGTAAAATGTTTCCAAAACTTTGAAGACAGTCAAAGTTGTTGGTGTCTTTCAAGGTTGGTGTTCACAGCACACATTTGGTCACAGAGTGCCTCTGCAACCACCTCACCTTCTTTGGGAGCTCTTTCTTTGTCACTCCCAACCTCGTTGACCCGTCACGCACTGCTGAGCTGTTTGCAACTTTTGCAGAGAATCCTTTGGTTGTCTGCTTTGTTGCGTCACTCTTTGGGGCCTATCTCTTGGTGGTTCTGTGGGCCAGACGGAAAGACATAAAAGACACAGTCAAGGTACCAGATTAAAATTCAAGAATAAATTAAAACTGCCCAAAATGTAATCCCAGCCCAAAGAAACATGTTGTTGGCTGGTTGGCAGGTGAAAGTGACGGTGCTTGACGACAACGACCCCATGGATGAGTACCGCTACCTGTTGAGTGTCAGCACTGGGCATCGGAGAGGAGCCGCCACTTCATCTAAGGTAAATATGCCATCAGTTCATAGGAAATAATGTAACGCTTAGTAGAAAAGGCTCTATTAAGCAAATATTATGCATAGAATAAAGATTTCTGATGCGATACACCCCATTTTTAGGAATACATTACCATAAATGTTACATTCTCTCAGAATATTATTGCAGAATCTGTAGGAAACGGGACAATACATTTCAGTTTGATTGTCAGAGTATTATGAGCACGTCTGATCGGGCTTTGGTTAAATACAGGTAAACAATCCGTGTGGAGAGTGAGAAAGGACGCATCTCTTTGATAGTGACTGATGTCTTGGTTCTTCATTTTTGTAACCTTCATTCAAGAAAATAATTGATCTTATTGAGTAAAGTATTACCATGTTGACAACGAAACAATGTAGAAAAGAAAATCAGCACAACAAGAGACGTAAAAGGAGAGTGAATATTGAACTTTTGTAAGATAGTGAAAACAATTCTTCAAATGAATGCTAATGCTGCTAACACGTTAGCAACTTTCTTTGTCAAACCTTCTTAGGTTAGTATGTCAGTGTTGTGTTTTCATCGTAAATAAAAAAAACAAATTACAGTTTGGATTTAAACTAAATTATACTAATATTTATACTATATTATTTAAAAAGTATTTATTTATTATTCAAATGTTTTACTTTTTTAAGTACTTTACCTGCAGATCTTTAACAAGTTTTCTTCTGTCTCTCTTTGATAACTTTTTTTTTTAATTCAACCTATATTCAAGGCTGGCTATGCTGAGTGTTTTGGAATTTTCTAAAATAGTATTTTTAAATATCATCGATTATATTTTGTCCTGTACAATGTGCTGTTGCATCCTTCTGACATTTAACAATTGCACATATTCAATCTATTTAAAGCCTAAAGTCTATCCAGTCATATTGAAAGTAGTTTCACTAAATAACTAACTGATTGTGTAAAGAGTAGGAGAATAAAATATAAATAATTATTTATCATACATTTCCCAATTTGGGATCAATAAAGTAAATCTTATCTTATCTTATCTTATCGTATTGGTCATCAGGGCAAGGGTTGCAGCCCTAACCCCCAACCCTCCATTAACCTGTTTGCATTGAAGTCAAGTGGTTGAATATCACCTTTTGTTCTTCGCAGTTTTAAATATAGCGTACTGAACTGTTTTAGGTGACAATCACACTGATGGGTTCAGAGGGAAGCAGTGAACCGCATCATCTAACGGACTCGAAGAAATGTGTGTTTGAGAGAGGTGCAGTGGATTTGTTCCTGCTAACTACGCCCTTTCCTCTGAGAGACCTGCAGAGCATCAGACTATGGCACAACAACTCAGGGAGCCATCCTTCCTGGTACGCCAATTTACAATTGTCAGGACCACTCAAAAGACATCCTAAATATATGTCATTTCCGCATCGTAACAAGCTGTAATATAGGCTATTGAATTCCTCTGAATGTTACGACCTAGAACACAGTGCACATCGGACATGATGTAAGTACGATAAATATGATAAATTATACTGACCTTGCAAAGGAGTACTTGCTCTCTCCTACTCTTTTGTTGTTGAGAATTACTGTCAGGTTTGTTAAGTGTCTCTTGATGTACTTTGCTCAAGGAGGATTTTGTTTGTTTAAAATATTAACATTCCATCTTATTTTTCAGGTATGTCGGCAATGTCATGGTGCAGGATTTACAGAAAGAGCAGAAATATCATTTTCTTTGCAACTCATGGCTGGCCATAGACATTGGTGGTTGTTCCCTGGATCAAGTCTTTCCTGTTTCAACAGAGGTGGATCTAAAGAGGTTCAGGTGAGGTTAAATCAACAGGGTACTGAGCAGCAAACACACTGTTGATGTTTTGAAACAGAGAACTTTGATTGTATTTGGAGGATAAGAGGAATGATACATTGCAAATGAAATGAAATAATTTTATCTCAGATAATGTCAAATTCGCAGGATGCTCTCTTTTTTGAAATATTACAAAACCTACACACCAGCAGACAGAATGCACAAATAAAATAAAATAATTCTAACCCAGCCTTAATTGTTAATTAACATGCAACATTTGTCAAATTCAACCTTAAAGGCTAAATAAATGAAACCCTTTCAGATTCAAAAGGCAATTAAAATGAGTTAGAGGAAAATGCAAATAAACAGAAGGCAAGTGCTAGTTATGCCTGATCAAATCACTTCACACACCAAGTCTAACATTTCAGAATTGTGTGTGTTTTATATGTTATGCCTTGTTGGAGGCTGAATTGAGGCAAGTTGATCTGAATTGTAAGTTAAACTGAATTGTACTAAAGATGTCTATGGCAAGGTGAGGTATGAAATGGCAGAAGAAAGATTTCAAGTACAAAACGTTACTGCCTTTATAGAGACAGGAGAGGCTGAAGATAAGGCAGGCTTATATTTGATTAACTATTATACTTGTTTTAAAGACAACAAAAGAAAATGTTTACCGTTCTAACTGAATTTGACACATAAAACAACAAATGCTGCAGAAAATCGAAATTCAATGACCCTGGGTAAGAATGCTTGATTATTAATTAATCATGTAAATTATAGTGTGGACTGTACAAATCAAATGCACACAAACATTTACGAGAAAAAGGTGGACAAACATTCACAATCAAAATCCTAGTCACCACAGGAAGTTTCTGTGGATTTACAAAATATTTTAGCTCCGAGCTCAATATATTTATATTGACACTTTTCTGCATAGCCTTTCCTTCCTTAGCTGTACTAATAAAGGCAGAAATATCCACACAAATTAATATTACAATGAATAAAAAATGTGCATATCATTCATTCAATAAACTCATACACTGCACAAAGAAAAAACAACACATTTCAAGATATAACCAGGAACTCAACTGAGAATGGGGAACATATATTTTTCTTATAGTCTTAAATAACGTTTTTGGACTCAATTGTGTTTAATAAGAGCAGACCTCTTGTTATATTAACCCTAATATTACCTTTGTATTATTAGAAGATGATGATTATCATAATACCCATATTGAGAAAAGCACTTTCAGATTTAAATTTATGTACAGCAGAATGAGAAGGTTACTGGCGGAAAACTCTTAGCTGATGGCGTAGTTTTTTTTGGTGTATTGCCATGAAGAATATGCCTTTAGGTGCCTCATAATACTTTAGGTATTAATATGCAATAGATGAGCATTTGATGGTTAATAAGTGTATATATTTCTAAATTTTAACCAAAATGTGAAGGAAGGTTTTAGATTGTTTTTTTCATAGCGTTATCCCTTTATTTTTTAGTAACTTGTTCTTTATGAAGACTTCAAAGGATTTCAGTGACGGACACCTCTGGTACTCAGTGATCAATCGACCACCGAGCAGCAACTTCACCTGTGTGCAGAGAGTTTCCTGCTGTTTCACCCTGCTGCTCTGCACCATGCTTACCAGCGTCATGTTTTATGGCATCCCAACAGATCCCTCTGAGCAGACCATGGACATGGGTACAACACATTTTTAATAAAGTCAAGTTTACTGTCAGAGCTTTGAAGACTTTTTCCTGACCTGGTTTTTTAATGTACTCCTTTGTACATAAGTAGCCAAATAAACTGCATTTTTAAAACAAAATATATATTTATATATTTGTGGATGAAAACAAATGTTTGAAAAGTTATGCAAATTTCAAGTACATGTCTTCAGCTCTGACTCTCGCTCTCATTCTCCTCAGGTCTCTTTGAGTTTACATGGCAACAGTTCATAATCGGAGTACAAAGCTCCCTCATTATGTTCCCTGTTAACATCCTTATTGTAAGCATTTTCCGAAACACACGTCCCAGAGAAACGTCTTGTTGCAAGTGCAAAACAGAAGAACCAGATGCCGAGCAGACGTTTGTCTCTCCAAGTAACACCAACAACATGAGTGTCAATGTCACTTTGGACACTGTCATTATGGTAGGTGCTTCATGTGTTTCATGTGATAAGTATAGCTATTCACAATATTGACCCTTAAACATGAACATTTATGACAAAAGCGTGATTGAGTCAATAATTTGTCTCAAATTCATGTGAATTACGTCCATATATTGCATTGTATGTCATTTAATACATAGAAAACACCTTTGTATCTCAATATTTTCTTCCTTAGGGTATAAAAAGGATTGCCCAATCTCTATCAAAGACCATGAAAAGCAACATCCCATGCACTGAGTCCGGGTTTGGTCCTGCACAACAAGTTGATATCAATGCTGTCCTTTCTACAGTGGAGCACTTCATCACAATGAATAACAAAGCCAGTGGCACTGCCCAGCCTGAGCTAGGTAAGTACAGTACATGATGTGGATGGCTGATTCTGCAACATTGTATGTAATACTATCTTGATTTTGGACAGATATAGTACAGTGTTTTACAGAGAGCTTATGGGGTTATTTTTTATACACATAAATACATGCACATGCATTTCATGATTCATAAGTCACTGTGCAGACTTTTGAGCTGTCATTTGTAACATTTGAGGGAAGACGAAAAGTGATAAGTATGACATCAGTATGACAATTAAGTGGTCCAAAAACTTTAGTAGCCCAAACATAAGTAGATATCTTTTTGTTTTCAAATGAAGCACAGGCTATGCCATTGTGTTTTTCAAAGCAAACACAAAGTGGTCTGAAATCAATTCCGGGGCTGGAGATTGTTCCCTAATCAACAAATACAGCTTGGTAAAGTTAAATTGTTTTCAGACAGAGCCCAACATTCAATTTTCCCATCATGAAATGTTGATCTAACGCCACAATTAAACGCAAAAATGCTGCAAAGCAAATGGAAAAGGGTTTAATTAACATGACATTTGGGCACGTATCATAGGGTAAGGATTAGGGTTGAAGTTAGGGTTACACGTTACACTAACCCTCGATGAATCAGCTTGGACATTGATCAGAAAAAGTGGAGAAAGAGAAAAAAAGAAAAACACACAAGCTCACTCCAAATGAAGGATCGGTGTATCCGTTGATGGTGAGCTTACAGCTAATATCCAGTTGCTACATTTGTTAATACAAATAAAAAGGAACTGCACAAATGGATGAACATTTGTCGGAATGACTCCAGGAAAAACAATTCACTTTCTGTCCAAACACAACTTAAAAGTCACCTATCATGCAAAATGCACTTTTTTATGTCTTTTATACATAAATATGTGTCCCCGGTGTGGAGGAGATTCTCAAAATACAACCCTCTCTCTTCTCCTCCTTACCCACATCTTTAAAAACGGGGGTACAACTGAGCTGATTCAGATTTGCTGCGGTCATGATGACATTATTAAAATGTGGGCTGGCTTTACTTTGAACTGCTGGTGTTTTTAAAGTAATATGGTCTTAGTTTACATTAGCAAGCATCGCTAATACTCAGAGCTAACGCTGTACTGGAGAGAATGTGTGTAAAAATGCCAGATATAAAAAGGTACTCACCTTGCGAGAGAGAAAGCGCTTGAGCTCCATACTGTTTCAGAAATAATCCTTGATATGGTTCGGAACATAATATGGCGTTTTGAGTTTCTGCTGGTAGAGTAGACACTCTTCTCTTCCTGCTCACCGCTTGCATGAGGAAAGGGGCGTGGCCAGCAACAGCTTGGGTTACATTTAAAGCTACAGACCCAGAATCAGCACTTTAGTAACGGGGCTGAAATAGAGGGGTATGAGGCATGGATTTTTGGTATTTTGAGCAAAACACTTCAGAGAAATGTTTTGTATAGATATTACCCTATAATATATTGTTCAAATATAGCATAATAGGTGAGCTATAATGCATGTCTTTGCATTTCTAATATCAGACACCAATTGCAAACTAGTTTACTAAATCAGAAATTATGTACATTTTCAGATTACAGTCCTACTATGCATCCTGGGTCAACACTGGAGGGGATTCAGAAGAAGAGCAACAAAAACCAGTATCTATACAGGCAGCTGTGTCACATCGACAAACAGCTGAGTCAGCTGGGACCCTCCGACTTCCCCGACCCACACAGCTACAGCCGGGCTCTGCAGCAGGTCCATGGCATGAAAGTGTTCCTTGAAGATCAGCTTTCTACATCAGGCTTTAACAACCCTGAAGAACCCAACCAGAGGAAGTAAGGAAGTCACTTTTTATAAAGACAACCCTCGTGGTTTGTCAAGTGTTATTCACTATCATCTTTAAATATATGCCAAAGCTTTGAATTTTAGCGTTTTCTGTTTCCTTTTTCATCGTGTATGAACACTCTGTTTTCCCGAACTTTTGTGATTGTTGCCCCGCCCTAATTCGATCCACCTGTGTCTAATCACCTTGCTGCCTTTGTGTCCTTGCCTGCCCTATCCAGCTGTGTCTTGTTCATGTGATTAGTTAAGTGTGTATATATTCCTTTCTTTGCCAGTTTTTTCAGATTTCCGTCAATGATTCTCAACAATGTTTCCCATATATTTTTCCTGCTTTGTGTGTGCTCCATGTTTCCTTTTTATTACGTTATCCTGCCCCCTTACTTAAACGTTTACATTAGTTGTAACTTGTACCTGCCTCACTTTCTGTTCTGAATTTTGGTCCGACTTACTTCCATATCCATTACATTGACAGCCACTTAAAAATATTGTGAAGAATAGTGTGAAGAATTATTATTTGCCTGAAAGTTTATTTCTTGTTTATATTTTGTGTGTGTGTTTATTGTTCATTATTATATTATATTTCAGGTCACTGCAAAGTGGTTTGTCAAAATAATTGAATCGAATCGCATATTGGACTGTAAAGTTCGGAAAACGACAGTCAGTCATTTTAAAATAGTTAAAATATCAAATTAACTTTACTTTCTTTATATGAAGCTAGAGTTATGAGATGGTTAGCTTAGCGTGAATACTAAAAGTAGGGGAAAGTAAATAGCCGCTGTGGACCAAAAATGTGAAACCCACCGTAACACCAAACATGTTAATATTGTATTGTTAACAAGGTGGTGGCGGATATTGATACTTTTGAACTGATCCCGGCTAACAGTCACCC